GCAACCAACTGGGACTGCTACGACAGCAAAGTCATCTACTGGAGTGGTAGGGGGTGGCACACCGAATGGAAAGTATGGATTCAGCAGATAAGCCCTGGAGACAAAGGAGGAGGAAGCTCAGCAGTCCAGGCTGGAAAAGGCAGTGGGAGAAAAGACAGGTTAGAAAGTCGTGAGTCAAGGAGCCAGCCTGCAGGTATGCGGAGAAGAAAGTAGGTAAAGCTGGGGAAGCTGCACAGACGTGATTAAAAGGCATTCGGCCCTGTGCTGGTCCCTGAGCGCTTGGTGGCTTATGGCCTCATCATCCTTCTGCAGGACTCAAAGCCACCCTAGCCACCTCTCTGGTGGGTGGCAGCGGCAAGCAGATGCAGCCCCGCTCTCAACGCGCTGTCCGTAGGTGCCCATACACTGACCGTATGGGGGATGCCCCACCACTGAAACAGCTCAGTTGCTGCATGCCACCAAGGCAGGTTTGCCACCCATGCACACTCAGAGGATGGCGGCTTCCGGGCCGGGAGAGGGGGTGAGCCGACCTGGTGCCCAGAAACACCTACCACCGCCCGCTTTGCTTCCACGCAGACACAGTAGCTCTGCTGCATTTCCGCAACGTCCGTTTTAATCCAATGTTCATCAGATAAAATAAACTGCCAAACCGAAGGCCCGGATTTACGGTTGGAGACTTTTTTGAAGCCCTGCAAGAGACCCAAACTGTTTCAGCTTCCTCTCCTAAATGTCAGCCTTGAGCCGTTCTTGTCTGGCCGGCGGAAGCATGTGACATGAAATAAAAGCCAGGAAATAAGACTTTCTGAATAAACATTTATTTCCGCCCTCGCGCCCAGAACCACCCCCCACCGCCCGCTTTGCTTCCACGCAGACACAGTAGCTCTGCTGCATTTCCGCAACGTCCGTTTTAATCCAATGTTCATCAGATAAAATAAACTGCCAAACCGAAGGCCCGGATTTACGGTTGGAGACTTTTTTGAAGCCCTGCAAGAGACCCAAACTGTTTCAGCTTCCTCTCCTAAATGTCAGCCTTGAGCCGTTCTTGTCTGGCCGGCGGAAGCATGTGACATGAAATAAAAGCCAGGAAATAAGACTTTCTGAATAAACATTTATTTGGTGAGAAATACTTCTGAGTTTTGGCAGAGAAATGTCAGAAACCTGAAGCCCTATGTATAGCATGCCTACAGAGTGCAATTTCTATTTAAAGGGAAGCTGCAGCTGTCTGTAGCTCTTAATGAAGAATAATGCCTGGGAATAAATTACTGCCATTTCTGAGAAACATTTCTCAAATTACAGCGATTCTTCCCTTTTTCCCTCTCCCTATAAATACTGAGTGGCATGTATTGGGCAGTTGTTTGGAAGAACGAACACACGCAGCTCTCTCTTTTGTCGGTAGCCTGGTAATTTCTGTAGAAAACCATTAAGTGGTTTACCATACGGATACCAAAGCAATTCAAAAGCAAAGACGTTCAGTAACATTAAGGCTGCATGTGCCAAAATTTCCTGTTGCTTTCCCAAGGTGTGCACAGCTCATGACTGCTTGAACAGACACCGGGGCATCACTTTCAACCACGCCGCAAACCCAGCGTTGAGGCTCAAGGCGTGGGAGATGTCCACTCGCAGAAAACCGCTGTAAAAGGCTCGCTAACGTTCAATTGTCATCACTTGTGTATGCCTCCTCTCCAAAGGGCTGCCGCAGTGACAGTGCAGGCAGGCGGAGGTGGTGATGCTCTGGGGAGAGGGTGTGCCCAGGCTGCCGCCAGCCTGGCCAGGCGGCTCAGGAAGCGGCACTGACATCAGCTCCAGGAGCCGTCGCTCCCAGCCCCGCCACAGATCCAGGTGCCAGGAAAAACAGCCAGCGGCCAGAGGAGGAGTATGGACAAGACAGGACCAGGGTGAAGGGAGCAAGGAGGGCCAAGGAGCAGAGAAAGGAGACGACAGCTCAAAAATGGGATGGGACCGGGGCTAAGCCTTGTGTGGCCACAGTCCCCGAGATCCTCTCCAGCATCGCACTCAGCCCTTACGGTGGCAGGTTCCCACCAAAGCCGGGCATAGAAAGCCTGTCGGAGCAAGGAGCAGGGATGTTTACTATCCTGCCATTTGCAGTTTTCCCAAAACAATAGTTATAGATATGAGATCAACTGAAGATGTTTCAATTATTGACACATACTGGATTTAGAGATTTATTTTCCATTTCCCACAAACCGTGCCAGAGGTTTCGCATAAGCACAAAAAAAAAAAGTGAAGAAATGCCTGTGAGTGAGAAGCACGAAGACTTTATTCATTGGTCCTGTCAGAATGTGTTTCTGCTTGTGCAGCTAGCACTCCAAAAAAGCTGCGGCATATGTTTTCTGGATGGAAAAAAAACCTCAGGATACCTAAATCCTATCAGAAAATTACAAAACCATACGCTGGAATTCACAAGGTACCTTCCTGTGAGAGCAAAGGAGCCTCGCCTCGCTTCATTTTTACCCCTCACTAAGTGAAATAAACGTTCCTCCTTAATGAATCCTCCTGACATCCCTTTTTCTCTCTGCAAAAGAGGAATATGGACTTGATTTGTACCAGCTCTGCTATTCCAGAAATGTGCTTCATCCAACTGAGGAGAGCAGAAGAAAGGAAGCAAGAAATTTGCACTGTTTAGTAAACAGGCAGTTTCTAGGTGGATACGAGACGCTGGTCCCAATTTACTGCCCCCCTCCCTCCTCACACCCCTCTTCCTCTGAAATTTCCCTGGGTGGCAGGAGGGGGAGGTAGAAGGGATGAGAACAGCTACCACATGCAACTGGAAAGGTCTGATTGCTTTCCGCACATCTTAACGTGACAACACCCTGCAAACACTCAGGGAGGAGAGAACAGTATTTTTCAGTAAAATCACTGTATGCTGGCATTTCCTTTCAGCAGAATCACCATCTCTCCTCATCTCTCGTATTCCTGTCTCTCCGAGAGGATAAAGAAAAGAGGGGAGGGGAGAGGAGGAGCCTGGCCAACCGCCTCCTTCTTGCAGCACTGTCCTCCAAACAGAAGCCAGGTGACAATATCGCTCTCAAGGAACTTCTAAAGAGCTCTCCATCACCTGTGAATGACTCCTGAAAGAAACCGGTCCTGGATGCCAGGGTGAGAGCCATTCTCAAGAGCACTTTCCATCCGTACCTGGTGAGAAGAATGCTGCTTTTTCTGCACAAACCTGGGCCTCACAATTGTAATTTGGGGTTTTGGCACCGCAATAGCAGACCACCGCACTGCGCTTTAAGTGGGCTCATTTTAAACCATTTACGACTGGGCAGAATGTAATAATCACGCTGATAGCATCTTAAGACAGATGTTCTGTCCCCTGTCATGGCTGATGACTGCCTCCTTCTCTCCTGCTGTTTATCTGGCTGATCTGGCACACCACATACCTTAGAGGACCCGAGGAACGCTCTCCTCGGCATGAGGTGGTGCTGCTGTTGCAATCAGTGGAGGTGATTGCAACATCTTGAACAAACATCTCCTGTTATCCCAACAGCTTTGCATGCTAGGACAGTTTTTTATTATTATTATTATTAGTTAAGGCTGCCCTCCTCTGCTCTAGGATGTCAGTGTACAAAGTAAGCCCTTGTGGTTTCAAAGAAGTCTTTCAAAGTGTGGGAATAAGCTGATATGGCCATGTCTGCTTGGATACATAGACAGTGAGAAGCTCCAGGTCTCAGAGGCCCCTTATTCATCTTAATGAGTTACTAACTTGGCAGCTTAGTGGTACTAGTAACTAACAACTCGAAATGTCAGCTTTGTTAACTATTTCACTGTAGATCAAAGCATGTGGGAAAGAGGAGAGATGATGAAGATTTTTCAGTGTCTTCTCTAACATTTATTTTGCAAGTGGCTCTTGGGAAAGCAGCACCGCTTAGACTCAGTCTCAATCTGCTGCCCAAAGCCTGAACCCAAAGGGGAAAGCAGAGCAAAGGAGGGCATCGAACTTCCAGGGAGCTAGAAGGCATGCGCAGCAGTCATAAAATATATTTATATTTACTAAATTTATGGAAAGTTCAAAAACTAATTTGCTCAAACTAGAAGAATCTGCAGCTGTTTTGTCACTACTAACATCCTGAAGGACCACTGCATACTTTGGGCATAAGGATTTAAATACTAACTTGCCTAATTTTGAAATTCCCAAGGTTCCTTCTTAGGACAAAAATAAGGATTATTCTCAAACCTGGCAGGCAGAGAATTCTTGTTTTCCTCTGTTTGTGAGGATGTTTACATTTGATTTGCCCATTTCAACCCAGAAAAGCAGTGGGTTTTATGAGAAAAACAATGAACATAAAAATATTTATGCCTTCTCTTTAGCCATCCCTCACGCGAACAGTTTATTTTATTAAATGCCACAGCTGGACCAGGGTCTTAGTTATGTGACTGTGTTTCCCTCTGAAAGGTGTGCTACTCCAATTCCCATGATCACAAACCTCTGAAAGGAGCATTTGTATTGAAAATACTCAAACTAATATAACACACTGATCAAAGCAATAGGAGTTTAGAATACCAGGCGCAAGTAACCACATTTGCATTCCTCTAATTTGAAACGGCCAAATAATTTCAACCATTGTATGAGCATGTATAAAACTCCTGACTCTGACCTGTAGATCGCTGAACTGTTATCCATAATATTTTTCATTCTTGTTATGCTACACAGTCACAAGGCCTTCAAAAGCAGGCTTACATATTTAACTAAAAAGCGACAGTAATGTGTTAAATAACTGTAGCAGTCCAAGGAAAAGAAACCCAGCATCTTTCCTTAGATAACATATTTTGCCCTTGAAGACATTAAAAGAAAGAAAAAAGAGAGCGGGAGAGAAATTCAAGTCTGGCTTTGCAGTCCAACCCAAACACATCTACCTTTGGTTTCAGCAGAGCTAAAAGATGCTCAGTACATCACAGGGATGGGAGCAAACACTACAGTGCAGATACCACCCCCCAAAAGACACAATTGCAAGTACACATTATCGCTGCTAGGAACTCACAACATTCACTGCGTTCTTCTTCAGGGAACTCTGGATTATCCTTTAGAGCATGAAGATTTTTCAGAAGCTGCCAGACTGCTCACAGGTCCTCACTAGCTTTCCTCTTTCAAATAAAGTAAGATAGAGCTGTAAAAGAAAAGCAAAACAAAGTAAAAAAAGGAAAGCAAGGAATAAAAAACAGGAAAATCCATACAGCTGTTTAGCAAATGAACAATTGATTCCTACATCTCCTTGAAGCAAATGCATTTTTAATGAGCTCCCAGCACGGAGATTCCAGTACAGAGTGAGCATACGTCAAACACTGATCTAGGATAGGAAGAGTCATTCACTCTGCACTTATTACCAACAATCAAAACCCAGTTCAGAGTTGCTGAGGCAGATACATAATTAAAACAGTTCTTGGATACTTCTGTTGCCATAACAAGAGGAAGAAAAAACTACTCGGAGTTGTTGTTTTGAAAAGTGTCTGGAAACAAAGCCCAAGGTGTGCAGAGAGATCCACACAGGAAGATTTTTGTTCTCAATGAACTCCTCTAAGGGGACGCAAACACCTGTCTATTTCTGTGGTTATCTGTAATATTGCAACAGAGGAGTACTGAAACCAAAAATACACACACACATTCCTCAGCAGGAAGTATTTTTCACATCTGAGATTTTTAATATCATGCGGTTCTTTCATACTTATTTTTGACAGAATTTCTTTGTGGACCAACTCTTAATTTTTTTGACCTACTGTACAAGGTATCAGACTATCCTCAGCCTTTTTACTGGGGTCTGGGAAAACTGCTGTGCTACATTTTTATGAGAACCCCACTCAGAATACTTAAAATACAGTGTGTATTTCCACAGGGCCCAAACTGAACATTTTTTCCTTCAGCAAAATTCCCATGGTCTACTTGTGCTTCCTAAATTCTTAGTTTCACTTTGTGCCACAAACCTTTCCTATCTCCTTGACGTAAGGCTCCTCAAACATTTCACACATAATTTCAGGATTCATACACACAAATTTCCATCCTATCAGCACTATGGTGGAATCCATGTCCCTGAACCGAAAACATGTGCAGGACAAAAGTCTACACCTGAGACAGTGCAAGCTCTCTTTACTTTCAGTGGAGGAAACTAGGCAATCTAGAAAATGATTAATTTGACCTATCTTAAGCATCTGCTTTAGGACAGAATGAATCACTCTCTAGAAAGGTCTGCTTCTCTCCCTCCATAAAGTGAGTCTAGACACTGAGCTCAGACTAGATGGCTACAGACGAATGCAGATGAATCTCACCCTATGTGAAGGCAGGAAACAAGTCGGACGGACAAGAGCAGTTCATGGGTGAAGAGCAGAGGGAAGGCAATGCAATGATAGTAGGCAGAGGAAACTACTCAAAAAAGTCTACAGCCCTGAGACAGTCTGTTTTAGTTGAACACTCAAAGCAACAACTCTAAAACCCTCCAAAACCCAAACCAGTATTTACCCAGCTTATCCAGCTTTGGTATAAGACGACTACTGGATTTACTGGCTGAGGCTAAGCCCTCACAGAGCAGCGTCCGTGAACATTACCCATCTCCTCCAGCTGGTTGGGACTCTCCAATGCGCACTGGCAATGATGATCAGCCTCAGTTACATGCGTCTTTGTCCTCTCCCTGACGGACTGTAGCATTACAAGATACCTGCTACAAAAGCCTTTCCAGCTTAAGAAACTCTGAGCTGGAAGTACAGCTCCTGTGTGACACAGGCACTGCAACCTCAAGATCCTTCAGATACCCAGGCCCCATCTAAACTTCCAGGACTTTGGTCAACAGCTTCTCTCCTCTACTAAAATGGGACTCTGCTGCTTATCTGACAGAGAAGCATACCCTCAGACATCATCTCACAAGCTTTTTAGCTTTAGAAAGCAGACCAAAAGGAGAACCACCCCAAACCATATTTAAGTCAACCCTCATCATTTTAACCCAAACCAATTTATTTTCAAGATGTTTATTTCTTTAAATTAGGTGAAACTCAAGATTAAAAAAAAACTCAAAATACTCAAAATATTTTGTTTCTAGATGTTAAAATGAAACATTTTGGTATTTTCAAAATTACCACTTCTGTTTTTTTCCAGTAATTTGGCAATCCAAAAATCTCCTAAAAAATTCCATATTTAATCTTCATGACTTCCTCCAAAAATTCACCCAACACCTCTCTCTTGTCATTCAATACTCAGGGGAACCTGAAAATGTACTCCAAAAGACTACGACAAAATATTTAACATGTCTGCCAAAATTAGATGTCTTCCAGTTATTTTTAGTTAAGAGCAGGGAAGTGTACTCCATGCACACCTTGTCTCCCATACCAGATTTTGCAGCTCCTGCTTGCACGGACTCCTCTGAGCCTCCCTGGAGAGTCAGCTGCGTGTAACACCGGGCCGAGACCCACCACACTCAAAGTCTTTCCGCTAACTTCAACAGGCGGGATTAGGATTTTGATTCTGTTCAAGTTAAACAAGGCTCCGATTGCCTATACCGGGGCTTTGATCACTGAAACAGGAGTAAGCATTGTGTGCTAACTATGCAGTTATCTTGCTATCAGTCTGGAATTTGTCTTGCAGACCCATGCCAGCATGCGGACACGGGAACAAGTCACAAGCAGTGTCTGTGCGATACAGTGCAGTGGTGTTCTGTGGCAGCTATCCTTGTCCATGCGTTCTTATTTCATGGGAAAGATGACATGAAGCAAGGTAGCCTACCCCTCAGGGAAAAAAGGGTGAGAGACCTTGTATTTACTATAGGGTGCCTTTGTACCACGTACACAGCCAGTTATTATGGAGTGGATGATGCGCTGTAAATTCACAAGCTAGTTTAATCTGCTACAACTTGCTCACTTGACCTTACCCTGTAGGCACTTCTTTCTGCGAGGGGCAAGGCACGTCTGCCTGCAAATGTTCCCAGACATTTTTATGCTTAAGATTTAAAGACAGCACAGCACAAACTTCAGGACACACAGGGAGATACCCTGCTTCTTGAAGCACAATCCTTGCCTAAAAAGCAGAGCACTCATTCCCTAATTGGGACGATCTTTTTGCTATGCAGAGCTGACGGACTGTGATGACATGCTCTTCTTGGAACATCCAAAAGTCTCATAACTTGGAGGGACCATCAAGGAAGGCTGGTTTACAGTGCAACTACGTTCTAACCAGGCTTTTTGCAACTGAAGTTTCAACATGATCAATGAATCATTATCACATACATGGTTACCAATCACATCTCGGCTATAAATGGGAAGTGTTACACAAGGAAGCTGTTTTTCATGGTCCCACAGCGTTATGGTTATTCAAATATCACAGCATAGTCCTGCCTTTGAGTGCTAAAAAGGACATTGAGTTGACAGATTAGAAGTGTAATTGAGAGGTGAACAGACCTCAAATCAAAGAACATGGAAGTACTTCTTGGGAGTATTTAGATACTAAAATTGGACCCCAGGGCAATCAACAAATAAGAACCACAGTACAAGTGAGCAACTGCAAACTGGCAAAACTGAAAACCAGAAGTCGGCTCTGTGCAATACCCTGTATTTATTCCAAGAAAAGGTCACGCTCTCCATCTTGCTTTGAAAAGCAGGCAGCGAGAGATCACCGTTTTTCCAGTCCTTTCCTGCAGGTTTTTAATTGCCATTCCTTGCTCTCTTGCATCACATAATTTGGTTTTCCTAATTCACAAATCAGCGTAAGCTAATAAAACTGTTTAAGAGACGGCAGCGTTGTTCCCAAGTTGTTTCTTTGTTCGCTATTATCCCACAACTAATCCTTCAACTCAAATAAAACCGTAATTCATTTCCTCCTTTATTCTCCCTCTGCATGAAATAGTTTTAGACAGGTTCAATCCTGCCCCACCGCAAATGGGAAAGGCGAGGTTGTATCTTCCTGGAGAGTATGCTATTTCAGTTACCTAATGTGTGTATCATCTATCGTGTCAAGAAACAACTTCTAAATGGTTTTCAACAGGTTTAGCTGATTTTACACATATAGAAAAGATTCTAATGGAAATGAAAAAAAACCTCACACACCAACCAAGAATTAACTATCTTTCAGATTTCAAGTTAATAAAAGGTCCTCTACACCAGCCATGCCAAACTTTACCCGTCTGAAAATCTCCTGACATTTTGTCTAGTGTACAAAGACTGCTCCTGATGGGGCTGAGTCATCTTTACATTAATTGTTCTGCTAGTGTAAAAAAGACTTAAATCACAATTATGCCTACTTTAAGGTTATGGTGAAGGAGTATCACCTTAGCACAAAAGAGGTTTCATTTGCATAAAACAGGCAGGCATCACTCTGATTTCTGTTTAACAACCATTCCTCATCTGAAGCTTGATTCTCCACAGCTTTGTGACATAAACAAGCACTTCCCATGGCTTTGCATGTGGTCCATGGTGTTACACCCACTTTGTGCAGGGTGAATAACTGTATCTGTGTGTAAGGGAAGAGTAAATCAAGTTGTCAGCACTTTGCATATCCTGCGGGTCCTGAACCAGAAAAACAGCATGCAGATCATGGGGCTCAGACAAGGAAGCAATCCACCCTGCTCCGCAACGTGCAGTAGGGGGAAGAAGGTATATGTTACCTTCCCCAGCTCTGTGAACACATCCACGTGCTGCCCCAGCCCTGTGCATCTTTCCTGTGTGAATGGCATTTCCAATGCGAGTACTTACTGGGAAAATGAAGTGCTGCAGGATGGGAACATCTGTCTGCAAACAGCAGACAGACAGGACCAGCACATGGGGCTGAAGGGGTAAGGCTGCAGCTCATACCCTCCAGTGCAGGAGCCACTACTGAAGATGACCAGTGATTCTGCACAACTAACGTTAACTGTTAGTCATCTAGACATCAGTGTCCCAAGATTTAATCTAAAAAAACATTATTCATCATTATTTCATCCACAGCAGCTATTTTTTCCCCGACTTAAGGCTCAGGTAAACTGCCCCTCGTTTTAGCATCAACCTATGCAAGCAGACTGGAAATGGGATTTCTCAGCCCTACTCACTGGACATCCATCCTTCCAAACCTGTTACCTGGAAACCATGGAAGCAACTTTGTTCCTAGAGTGGTCCCCGCTGTTCTCGTTACCTATTCCCTAACCCCAACACCTTTGAA